AACAATTTTGATTACTTTAAGGGAACCATTTGATTCGAAAAGAAATGCGCGTAGAAACAAAAAGGCGAAGGATTTTTCACAAAAGTCCCATAAAGACGCAAAAACCATGAAAAATTTTGTGCACTGCGGAAGATATATAGGATAAGAAACAAAAGGGACAATAAGCCTAACTTGACCCTAATCTAAGCTAATACTCGCAATAATCCAACAATTTTGATTACTTTAAGAGAATCATTCGATTCGGAAAGAAACAAGCACGAAGAAACAAAAAGATGAAAGATTTCCCTCAAACCCCGCAAAAATCCCACACAAATCATGAAAAATTTTGCGTACGGCAGAAGATACATGGGATGAGAAACACGAAGGACAACAAGTCTAACGATCAGGATGTTGATGGTGACGACGATGATAATGATGATGTTGATGATAACGGGTGACGGTTAAACTCGACGCAACTATATTTGCAGTTTACTATACTCGCAGTACAAAGTCATCATGAGCGAGCCGAGACAGAGACAGCAGTCTCGGCAGTTCGGTAGCATGAAGAGTGCAGAAAGGAAAGGTTCTACTAAATAAATAAAAATTTGCAGAGAGAGAAGAGAGAGAGAGAAGAGAGAGAGAGAAGAGAGACAGAGAGAGAGAGAGAGAGAGAGAGAGAGAGATGGCCAGCCGGTGTCGCGTTCGTGCTTTCGGACACCTGTGGTCCTGCGTGTCAAACGCGATTATCGTCCGTCTGTGGCCGATGTGAAGCCGCATGTATATCGTCGATCGTCCGGCGTTGCACGCGCGACTACGCGTCCGTTGTTCTCCTCTCTCTCTCTCTCCCCCTGCTTCGTATCCTTTTCTTTCTGTTTTTATTGCCGCGTCGGTTACGTCGAATCACGCGTCTACGCGTTCTTAGGTAATGCACGGTACGCGCGCGCGTTGCGTGAACGGAACTGCCAGAGAGCCCGTCTCCCCCTTCCACCCCCTTCCCTACCCTCTCTATCTCTCTGTCTCTGTGTAGCGCGTTTTATTTTTACACTTTGTGCGAGAACTGTGCGAGCGCCTCGCGCGAGCCGGCCAGAGAGCGCATATCGGACGTCGCGCGCGTGACGTCGTCCAAAAGTACCATCTTTGCGCGCGCGCGTTATTAGGTAAGCCTGAGTATAGCGGGAGAGAGAGAGAGAGAGAGAGAGCGCGCGCGGCGGAGAAGCTCCTCGTCGGATCTCCTGATCGCGCCGCGGCGACAATTACCGCGAGCGTGATCGTTGAATCATCGGCCGGACTCGCGCGTTCTCCCGCGCGGCATGCAACAGCTTCGCTCGTCGGCGCGTCGCAATCTCGTCGTTATCTCGAGACGGCGCGGCCGAGTGCGAGCGAGAGGACAGATCGAATTTTCTCAGCGACCGGCGGCGAATACGTGGCGGTAGCCGATAACCGAATGACGCCGCCGCCGCCGCCGCCGCCGCCGCCGCCGCCACCGCTGCCGCCGTACGGTACGTAGAGAGAAGAAATCAAATGAGTGATTGAAATAGTCACGGAGCGTCGTCTCAAACTGCCCGCGGATTTGATTCCTCGCTTTCGCTCGTGGGAACATCGCGGAGAGGCCAGCGAGCGTAGCGCGAACATATCGCGACGGACGATTTAACCTCCCCTGCGTGTGAGTCTTTGTATTAGCGTCGTGTCGTGAATTCTGATTGGTGTAAAAATTGGTACGACCTTGTCGTTGACGTTTCTCGCTTATTAGATCTCAAGAGCCGCGGTTTGATATTTTTGCAAGTCGTCGATTAGACGTTTGTATACGTCCCGTTATTAAATCATTGTATTTAGCATTAAGTTACATTTACATATTTAAATCTATTTGATATCATATCGCATACAGTATCATGTCTTATATTTTGATTTTAGTTTCTCTGTTTATGAGAAACGAACAGTTTTTACTATTCGGTGTGCAAAACACGGTAATGGTCGAGTATAGATTGACGTTAAATGTGTGCAAAGGACGATTATTTATTATAGCATAATAGACAGTATTTATTTTGATATTATATCAATATGATACTTTTGCCGTTAGTAATGATATTTTGTTACTGCTTCGTTTTGTTTTGTTGCAAGCGTTACGAGAGAGCGCCGGAGAAAAGTCACACAAGCGAGCGTGTTATCGCGAATTATACATACGCGAGAGAAAATACCTCAATTGTGATGGCTTCGGGAACGCGGTCGAAGCCACCCCGCCGCAGTCAGCACAGCATTATTTGGCTCCAACAATGGCGCTCCGTCGTACGGGAAGGATTAAAAGGATTGAACGCTCGGCAAAAATCCGCGCGAGAGATCGAGGCCTCCCGGACGCACGACGACAGCGCCAAGTACGTCTTTATACCTCCAACGTTGCGTTTTCCTCGCACAAACGCCTCGTGCGGCGTTGTTCCAGCTTGCGGAACGGAAAGGCGCGTTTCCAATATTCGCGCAGCGCGCGGATTACGGGCGGCGAGAGCGAGCCGCGGTCGGAAAATTTCGCAGCCGCCGAGTCGAATTTCGCAAGTTTCGCTGGCCTCTCAGCCGGCCACGACGCAGAAAAGTCTCTTATCTCGTGGTTTTCATAAAAAAGCACCGCATATCGCACAACCGGCGAGCCGTCTTACGCGTCTCGCGTTGACGCGCGTGCGACACGTGCTTCTCGCGACGACACGTTCGCGGAAAACGCCTGATTAAACTGCCGCGAGTATACGAGGATACGAGTAGCTCAGCCTCGAACGGCCAGTCTCGCCGAGACGAGAGGATTGCCGAGAGAGTATCCGTCGTGTCGCGAGATCTACGCCTTCGCTTCGGAGAGAGAGAGAGAGAGAGAGAAAAGCGCTGGTCGAGCTGCGACCAGCGCCGGCCAGATTGCGTATGTTTCGCGTCCAAAGAGACTCGAATGGCATCGATCGCGCGCTTTAAAGGCTTTTGCAGGGAAGAAATCCGTTAGGCTTAGTGCGCTACGTGCAATAGATGATTTAACCTTTAAGAACTTGACTTGAATTACAGCCGAATATTCTCCTTAACTTTGATTGTGATTCGTCAGTTTCCTAACGCTTAAGGCTTAAAGTGCTTGTTTAACATGTTGGGAATTGTCGAATTTACTTAAGGCTAGAAATTACAATTTAAATTGATACTTATAGTTTCTTAAAACTTAAAAATCAGCCATTGTAGACGAGACCTAACCGTAAGATCGTAGGAAAACTAACCAATCACAGTCGACACTGTTTTGCTTGCGCCAGAGAGAGAGAGAGAGAGAGAGAAAGAACACTCGATTGTGATTGGTTCAGCTACGACCCTACGGTTACGGTTAAAATTCCTCCACGTGCAATGACCTTAATGAGTCCGCGGGCCAACTTCAGGGATATCCCGCTAACCTATTTATAATGCCCCGGGACTGATACGCCGCCGCATTGTGGCGATAAAATTGGAATTCGCGCATTCGTGCAGGCTGATACGCCGATACCATATCCGCGCGCGGCCGATGTTATGTTGCGTCTCTCTCTCTCTCTCTCTCTCTCTCTCTTTCTCTTTTGTGTTGCGTCTCGCGACAGATTAAATACCTCGCGTCACACATCGCAGCCACGTTCGAGGCCACGATAACGCGCGTAATTGACGACGACGCGACAGCGCGGTCGGTATCTGCCCGGTATAGAAATCTTTTATGTTAAGTGCGCTTTTTTTTCGCGATAGACGACTTATCTCGCCAGTGACTCGCCTGTGTTGCATTTCGTGCTATTAATTAAGACTGGGAAAAGAGCGAGCGGAAAATCGCTCGTCGATTCACGCTCGAGCTGCGCACCTGCCGTCGTTCCGTCTCTCGCGCCGTCCTTTCATCTGTCGCACTCCTGAAGTGTCCGTTTGAGCGAATCATCAAGGCCCTGTTACATGGAGATACGTCCTATGTCGAAGAGAAGAAAAGGCAAAATGCGAAAGAACTTTGACGAAACTCTCTCGTCAAGCGATCATGAAACATTCGAATATTATCCTCCGTTTGAAATGCGTTTGCGCGCGTTGCGTAAAAATTCATAAAGGATCGTGAGGAATTGGGGAAAACGTGTCACGTCACACGCGCCCGGGAACATGGTCGCCGTTCGCATGATGTCACGGTATATCGCGGCAAAGAGGCTTAAGAACCGCACGCCAATCAGATTCACGAATCGCTAAGCGCTTCCTAAGCGCCTCATTCCACCGAACGCGACCATTGGCTCGGCCGCGGCGGGGTATCGTGTGTCGTGACGTCACGATCTAATGGCGCCATTCCGGCGCTTTTCAAGTCCACATGTTATTTTTCAGCCATTTATCTATCGCCTCGGTGTGTGCGACTTCCTCGCACGAGTCGGCTGTTTTTCCATCATGGTGTCTTCGCTCGGGACGAGGAGGGAAGAAGGAAGGAGAAATGTATCGAAGGAAAGGCACTTGATCTCCAAGGCTGAGCTCGACTTCGCCGACACCCCGTGTGCTCTCCGAAATCGCTTATCGCGCGATGGCGCGCGCGAGATAGAGGGGACGGACAATAAAATCGTCACGTTTAACATAATCGTCGTAGCAGGTATCGGCAGATATCGTGTGACATGTATTTGTGCGGGTCCACGGATCAAGCGAACGAGGATTAAGGATGATCCAGAGAAATCACACAAGTCCGGGCGTGGAGGTCGCGACTGTTCCGTTGTCATGTGGATTAAAAGGTCGACGTTCCGAAAATTCGGAGTCTGGGATGACCTGAGATGACCCCCACCGTCGTCGTCGTCGTCGTCGTCGAGAAAGCTTCTTTCGAGATTGCGTAACGGGCAGCTTGTGCTACTTCGATAACGCACGACGCGGCTTTGCCGTTGCCGCGCGCGCGTGTGCTGCGCAGAGATATTTATTAAGGGGGAACACCACTTTGACGGGCCCAAAAAAGGCCCGTTTTCACGAATTTTTTTTACTGCTTACTTTTTGCTACTACTTTACTTTACTTAATGAATTATTTAAGGATTGGGGGATGAGTATATTATTAAGGATACTTCGAAGTAATTTTATACAAATTTTTATTGAAACATAATAGAAATTAACAAAGATATATACAACAGAGTGCCGGTCCGTAAAATATTCTTCTTCCAACGGTGGGATCGATATCTCTGGCACCTGGTTCATCTGAAAAAGAAAATCAAATATTTTCTTAATCTGCATAAATGTAGTTTTCGTTGGGAGCAGCCATTTCTTTTAATTAATTTTTCTCAAAATAGCGGCACGTTAAACAAAACGCCTCGATTTTTCTAACATTCCCAACATTTTTTCTTCATTCAAGGGGCCTTAAAAATAATAATTTTCAAAATAAAAAGCTTCAAAGTGTCTTTAGCAATATACTCTTCCCCCAATCCTTAAATAATTCATTAAGTAGTAAAAACATTCGTGAAAAAGGGCCTCTTTTTGGGCTCGTCACAGTGGTGTTTCCCCCCTTAATAAAGCTTGTTTCACGCCGCGCGCACGCTACGACGGGAATGAATATGATTCCGAATTGAGTAATCGCGCGACGGGCGCTCTATAATTTGACGATGTAAAAATTTAACGAGGAATATAATGAGCCGCGTGCACGTTCAATCGAGTAAACGCGACGCGCGCTGGAATAAACGAGAACGCGCGAAAATAGTGTTTACGCATTTCAAATATTACGTTCCTTCGGTTTCGGGCCATTTTATTCGCGGTGTCATTCGGAAGAAGGAAAACAATCACAACCGGTCCCTGCGGTAAAGGCCCTGCTTTTTGCAGCAACGCATTCGCTCTTCTAAGTTGTTTGGCTCGATAACAAATTATTCTGACATGCATACATACAAAATATATAAAATACGTAATATACATATATATATATATATATAATGTATATGCATAAAATTTATATAATAAATTTTACATACATCAGAATACGAGAGAACTTGTTACGTCGCACAGCGGTGAATTTCAATGAAATTATGGCCAAAACTTAAAAAATGAAAGTAGACTTTAAGAATTGAAATGTATGCTAACTTTAAGTTGAATAAACAGAGAAGATAAGTTAGTGATTTTAATGTCCCTAAAGCGCCACACTGATTGTCAACTGCGCTTCGAAACGGAGAGTTGTGGCATTTGCGTTTAGAAGCGTCAAATTTGAAATAAGTTTCCGTATCGTGTTGAAGCACTGAATATATTATTTATAGTCCAATTCAATATGGATTCAGTAGCTGGAGGTTTGTAGAATGTATTCAATATTATTACATAATGAAAAAATATAAGTTAACGTTTTAAAAGCTAGCGGATATGAGCTGCTGCATAAGTTAATAATAGTTTTTATTAACTTACGGAAAAAGTATTCAATTCTACGATATTCAGTCAAGTTCGTGCTATAGTGTTATAGCTTTATATGTCTAATATTTGAATATAAAAAAAAATTCTGCGAATATTTGCGAACAGTTATATACACAACATTTAAAGAGAACAAAATTTCGCGTAGCTTGTAACATGTAAGAGATACTTACGAAATTTTACGTTTATTCTTTAGAAGATTAAAAGACAAGTTCAACAATAATTACAACTTAATTTTAGGTTCTCAATGTAATAAAGTAACTTTAAAAAGAAGAGAAATAATGGATATAATGTTATCTTGTCGTTCGACTAAATTTGAAGCACGGAGTAAATATTTGCTAGAATATATACAGAAAATAACCGGATATACTGAAGCTCTACCTAAGAAAATAAAAAATTGAATACACAAATTCGTTTTTGACTTCAATAATCTTAATCTTAATAATTTTAATAATTTAATTGAACTGTTTATATTATCTTTTATTATCTTTAAATATAAATTTGTTGTTTATCCTTATCAGTTTTGTCTATTTTCCTACATTTGTACAACTCTAAGAGATTTTGGCCAGAATTTTGCTGATATTCACCACAGTGCGTCGCCGCGTCGTCAATCTGTCAAATTTGATGTACTTGTCCCTACAGAACGGAATCTCCGCAAAAGAAGAATAAGAAGAGGAAGAAAGACAAGCGCCAAGTTGTTTAGCTCGATGCGAGAAATTGTTCTAACGTATATAAAATCGACGTTATCACCCGAATTGAACGACGAGAGAAAGACATTACGTTGTCAATCTCAAAAATTTGATGGATCTCGCCGATGGAGGCGCGGCGGAGCTACGCGCGCGCGCGTGTGAGAGAGAGAGAGAGAGAGAGAGAGAGAGAGAGAGAAAGAAAACAGAAAAGAGGAGCCACATTGTTTCCCGAGAAAAAGAAACAAGAATTATTCCAACATTTAATCGCCGCGACGTACCCGAATTGAGGGCGACGAGAAAGAGAGAGAGAGAGAGAGAGAGAGAGAGAGAGAGGGAGAGAGGGAGGAAGACGTTACGCTGTCGATTTTGAAAACTTGGCGGAACTTTTCCGAACACGAAGCACTCGCGAGGAAAAAGGCAGGAAGAGAAAAGCGGCGAGAATACGCGTTCATCCGACGGTCGCGCTGATGCGTTATTTTTCTCATGGACCGGATCGTCACTAATTATTTTACGCGATAATAGGCGTATTACGTAACGATATTCATTACGCCGTGCAATAATAGCCGCGCTTCGCGGGACGCGCGTCGGTGTAACCGATTATTCCCGTGCGTGTTCGCGTCTTTCATTACGCTACAAAGTATACAGTCGCGATCGCCACTCGGCCGAGCCGGTCGTGTTCCGAGTTTTTTCGTCGCGTGGTAGCGTTTCGATGCGCTCGATCGATACTTGAATTTCAAGAAACAGCGGGAACTTTTCCGCTTTACAAGCCGTGTAATCAGAGCTCGACACGCTATATACATAAGTAATACATCTCTCGCCGTGTATAAAACGCTTCTTTTTTTCCTATTTCTTCTTTTTCGCGCTAATACGCATCTCGGCGAGGCGAACTCGTTACCAGCCGCAATCTCCATCGCATTTTTCCATCCCTACCCCCTCCCTCCTGCCTCAGCCAGCACGTCCTGCGGAATGTCCGGCGGACATTCCCCGAAAGTAGCGCGAGATCATCCTTATCGATACCACACGCATCGATATCGCGCTGATGCATCGCGCAGGCGACGCGTTCTTTGATAACGTCGCGCGAGATTTTCCACGCCGCCGCCTGCGACTTCCCGACGGCGACGGCGAGCGCGGATGTAAGAGCCATTACGCGTGGAGGAATGTTAACCGTGACCGTGAGGTCACGTAAGAAAACCACCGGCCAATCACAGTCGATTATTCCTCTGGCGCACGGAGAACGATCGACTCTGATTGGTCGGTTTCCTCGCGAACTTACGCTTACGGACTTTCTACGTGCAAACGCGTTAACCGTGTTAATCCAGCTAAAAGCGAGAGAAAAAGCGAGAGAGGCATGAGAGAGAGAGAGAGAGAGAGGGGCAAAGGAAGCGCAAAATGGCAGGCGTGCGGCGGGGGGAGGGGGGGAGGAGAGTTGAGCGAATTTCGCGGGCTCGCGGCGTCGGTCGTTTGCTTAGCGGGAAATATTATTCCGAAAATACGTTTCCCCAGAGCGGAAATCCGGCGCGCGCGGGGGGGTGAGGACGGCCGGGGGGCTTGACGGGGGACAGCGCGAAGTGTTTTCGAGCAAGCCGAATCATCGGCGCGATGGATCTCAATTAAAAGTCCGCAATTTGTTTCGGGGCGTAAAAACATTTTGTCAGTATGGCTGAAATGAAAGCGCGAGCGCGCGTGCGCAACCGTCGACACGAAGTCACGCTAATTAATGGTAGCGCGCGTTCGGTATTGTATAATTCTGTTTACGGTAGATGGACGCGCGCCACGAGCGCGGGGCAGGGCGGCGGCGGCGGCGGCGGCGGCGGCGGGGGGAGGGAGAGGGGGGGTTCGGCGGAAGGGGCCGTTGGGGATCGCGCACTCACGCACACACGCACACGCATACGCACGCACGCGGCCAGGTGCGCGCGTCAAACGGCCGATCCGCGGCAATTTCTACGATCGATTGTTAAGTTCCATTTATCGAAATGTAACACCCGAATGAATGCGCGCGCGCGCGTCGAAAGCGTTTTTTAATGCGACAGATAATCGGACTCGCCGCCGCGTCCCGTTCGATAAACGCGATATCATCAATCAGCAACACCGAGAGCGGAATATTAATCGCGCGGCCAAACTCGAATTGCGAAAGCCGCCTTTCGTGTAACGTTGTTGACGCCCGCGAGATGCGTCAGCGGCTTTGACGTTCGAAGAATTATGCGTGAAACGAGCAGCGGGTTCTTACGCGGCTGTGTGAAGCTTCGAGTCGCGAAGTAGCTGGGAAAGCGACAGGTCGTTATCGTCGGAAATGGTATACGGCATGCACAAATTGGACGATCAGTTGCAGAGTGGAGGACTCGCGCGTGTCATAATTCACGAGTCCTCGGAATGGCCGCGGATGTGCCGCTTCTCGCGCGCGCAGCTTTAAGGAAGGCTCGCCCTCGAGATTAATTCGCAGAGTGAAACACTGTCGTATCCGTTCGAACGGCGTAACAACACGGCTGATCGATCGTGAACGAAATTGCGAAGAAGAGCCTCCGCGCTCCGTGGAGGAGGTTATTAATCGATCGGGGCAAGGACCCGCCGCAGCCGGGGAAAACGAGCAGAAAGAAGTGCGGAAACGTCGGGAGCTGAGATTCGGAGATCTCGGCGAGTCCGGTGACGGCGCGAACGGCCACGAGAACGAATCCCTTCTCTCCGTCTCGGCGCTCCTTCGTCACCGTCCAGTTTCCAAGCAACGCGTGCATGTACCTGGTGCGGCGCAAAGCGTCGTGTCGACCTCCAATCAAGCGTTAAGAGGAGACCACCGCCGCCGCCGCCGCCGCCGTCGTCGTCGTCGTCGTCGTCGTCGTCGTCGTCGTCGTCGTCGTCGTCGTCGTCGTCGTCGTCGTCGTCGCCGTCGCTGTCGGGCGTCGTGGCATAGAATTTGCAACTATGCTAATAAGAGGCGACCCCCGAACGGACAGCTAATGGCCGCCGAGAGAAAAAGGACGAGAGCCGGAAGCGCACAATGAATTCGTGAGGTCGCGACGTAGAGCTAGTGAGAGAGAAGGACGAGCGGCGGGTGGGCGGGGTGGAGAAGGAGGAGGAGGAGGAGGAGGAGGAGGAGGAGGAGGAAGAGGAGAGCCCGAGGACGAAAGGGCGCGGAAGGGACACAAGGGGCAAGAAGAGGCAGGGGCGGGGGAAGATGGAGGAGAAGAAGAAGGACGGAGAAGGATGAGGAGGATGGAGGGCGACCACGGATCAATCGTAGCCTTCCGTATTCCCTGCCGCCCCTCGGTCGGCTCGGGGGCTTCACCCCCCTCCCCCTTCGTTTGCCCCTTCAACTACTACAGCCGACTTGCACCCCTTGCAACTCGCCTCCTCCTTTCGTGCCCTGCACTACACTCCTCCACCCACCCGCATCCCCTCGTCGTCCCCCCGCGGTCACCCTTACCGCCCTTCCCCTCTCCCTCACCTCCCACCGCGCCACCCTGCGACTCGCACGAAGCCCTCAACCCTCGACCCTCGTCGCCGTACTCGCACCGTCGACGTGCACGCGTCGTTACGCAGGCCCAGACCCACCGACCAGACAGCGGACTCTCCTCTTCTCTCCTCTCCTCTCTTCTCTTCTCCCATCTTGCCCTCCCCCTCCCCCTGCCCCCCGCTCCTTTGTCCTCTTCTCTCCGTATCTCCGTCTCCTTCCACTCTTGGCGGCTCGTCTACGCACAGTGCGTCTCGCTCGCTCTGCCGCGCGCGCGCGCGCGCGCTGCACTTCGCGCCCTCTCTTTCCCTCTTTCTCTTCCTCTCCACGTCCCCATTTTCCCCAGCCATCACGCCGCGCCGCGCCGCGCCGCGTCGCGCCGCGTCGGAGGGTGAAGCTCGCTGCACAGAGAGTAGGTCAGTGGCGTGAATGATCATCAGCATTTGCGCGAACGCGGACAAGTGGGCGGACGCGTGTCTGTGTGCGTGCTCGCTCGTCCGCACGCAGCACGACGCGCCGAGGCGAGGCGAGACGCGCTCACCCTTCGTCGGCGCGCGTCGTCTGCGCGAGCTTTAACA